TGAATCATCAATCAACAGACACATCGAGATAGACAAAATTTATCCACCGATAAGAAATAAACTTTACACACAAAGGGTCAAAATTCAAGTCAAAGAAACAATCAGTTCCAATACAAGTAACCTAGAAGGTATGAAAACACACAAAAACAATCAATCACGTTCAAGGTCACCAGGAGAGATGATTAATAAACTCGTGGAGAAATCTAAAATCTCACTTCAACAAATTGAAGTATGCGCTGAAGATGTCACCTAGAAGGGTGATGAAAGCTTTGGGAATCAACTATCCATCTCAGAGAACACAACCAAATCAAAATCATCCACCTGAGCTACAAATCTTCTCTATCATATCTACATATTGAATTTCCTCAAAATAACAAGTCGAAAAATAAATAAGATGAATTCTCTTACAGACTGGAGTTACCATCGCATTGCTAGCAGACGGCTAGTACCAGAATTATGTATTCCAAGTCAATAGTAATCCTGTCTCTCTCTCTCTGAATCTCCGTGACTAGACTTTTAACAGTGGTTGAGTATAAAGTCCTGTATAAAATGTAGATGTTGTTCTCTCTTGACTCTTACTTCGTTACATCATAATTCATTTAGCAGCATAGTTCACATTTTCCATTTTGCAACTAAATGATCTGAACTCATAAGTTATGATTTTCATATCTGATTCAGACTTTAACCATGGACTTTGTAATGTCTTAAATTATCTTCTGATTTATGTGCTACAGCGTCTTGTTGGTACTCCTGCTTCCCCCGTAATTTGTTTCAATAAAGAAATGTCGATCATAATACACATATAATAGGTAGGTAAATATTTTATTATTTAATTAAGTCGACACTTTGATTCATGTGTATTCGATGACTATTTTTAAATTCTGTTCAGCATTTAATCTGAACTCATTTGAGATATGTAAATATGCTATTATTGAGACTATTCGCTTTCATACTTCATGTTGTTTGCTTTTGATAGGATACTGATTAACGAAGTAGAATAAATTCTTTTTATCCCGGTGGGTCTTTTTGTTATTTCAGATCCACTTTTTGAAGGAATTATTCACAGGAGAAAGGATTTAAAATTTTTATTCTTACTAAGGGTTGCTCTTTTCATTATTACTACTTGTCACTTTTATTAATAAGTCTGTGTGAAACTTTCAGAAAGATCCTTATAAGAAATATCTCTGAAATTCAATTAAGTGTTCTCCATTTCATTATTTTTATAGGATTTATGTCCTTGAACACTTTTATTCAATAATGATAGATTGATGTTTTCATCCACTTCATGCCACAGTCATCCCCTGTGATGCACAGCACACTCACTGTAAGATCAATTCTATTCCCATCCTTGAATCAAGGCAACCTGTCCCGGATCAGCCTAGCGTTGTTGCAACCCAATTATCAATGCCTAACGTGTCTATCCCCTCTTGTTTAATGAACTGTGTATATGTGTTTTTACCTCGATCCGTTTAGTCAGACAGTTGAACTCATGGCCCAATCAGAGTATTTTGTGAACTGTTAATTTTGCTGACCCATGTCTAACTTTGTACTATTCTGTCGAGTTTATCTTATTTATTGATTTTCATCTGTATTTTCCTACCTGGTTAAGTAGCCAATTAAATTCTATCTTTGTGCCTATGCTCGGTCTATCTCTCTTAAACGCTCTCTGTTTTATGCCATACCTTACTTGGGTTCATTCTTCTACTGACTGCTTACCTGAACGGTCGTGTCTGGTTCCGGCTAGTTCGCAATTTTGGTTTTAACGTTATTCCGCTCTGATAGCGGTACCTTGCTTTCTGTTAAGCATTGTGCTTTGTACTCTTGAAACCGTTAAGGTTTGTTGTATATATAATTATTGATTTGTTTATTAATAGTACCGTAGAAACAGTGACCGGCTTCTTGTTTGTTCTGGACCGGGATAGCCTTTATCTACGCGTGACTTAATTTCAAGCGATATTGCGCTTACAGTACTTAACGTTCAAGAGTACAAAGCACAATGCGTTAAGTACTGACCAGTTCAGTAAAGCTCGATCCGTTTAGCGTTAAGTACTGACCAGTTCAGACGGTCTCGATCCGTTTAGGTCAGTACTTAACGGAGTACGTAACGTAGTACTTGACGCTAAACGGATCGAGACCGTACTGAACTGGTCAGTACTTAACGCTAAACGGATCGAGACTTTACTGAACTGGTCAGTACTTAACGCTAAAGGGATCGAGACCGTACTGAATTGGTCAGTACTCAACGTCAAACGGATCGAGACCGTACTGAATTGGTCAGTACTCAACGTCAACAGGAAAGACCGTACTGAACTGGTCAGTACTGAACGTTCGTCCAGAAGAAACTGTGGTGAATTGGCAGCACGCAACGTTGTTGAAAATACATTTTCTTTGGAACAATGCAAACCAGATCAGGGAAGCAAATTTCGGAGCAGCAGTCGGAGAGTCGGCAAGTCCCCGTTCGTATAAATGATCATGTTGATAATCTTTCGTGCCCCGGCTCTCATGTCAGTAGTTCGAAATTATCATTATCGCGAGTAACTAGTGCTAAGTCGTCGCTACTAAGGCGCAGCTAAAAGAGAAACAGCTTCGACAGGAGTTAGAGTTAGAGAGATAAAGTTGCTAAAGGCTAGACATGATGTCGAAATGGCCGAGCTGCATGTGAAGTTAGCCGAGGACGACGAACGGAAACTCATGGAAATACGAAAAGAGGCACTGTCAATTACGCTCGAATCAGCGAAGACAGTATCAAAGGCGACATCAGAAGTCTACATGAAGCTGAGCTTAAGGATACTGAAGAAAACGAAGGCTCATTTTCTATTGAAGATCGTAAGGCAATCGAGTTTGTTACTCAAAGCACCGTCTTAGAAAAGGCATTACATCATTCCCTTGCCATGGGAAGATCCAACAAAGGTAACGGACAATAATTATGTAGTCGCCATAAAGCCGTTACTCAATCTGAAACAGAGGTTATCGTGTGACAAGAACCTTTTAGCACGATATGTGGATGGGATAAATACGATGTTAAAAAATGGTTATGCCCTTCCGGTACCCCCAGAGCAGCTAGCAGCGAACTATCGTTCGAGGTGGTATCTTCCACATCATCCCGTTATGAAGCCGAAAAAGCCAGATAAACTGAGATTAGTTATAGATTGCGCCGCAAACTTTAGAGGTTATTCTTTGAACGATAAGCTATATCAAGGACCTGATACGATTGCCGAGCTTGTTGGTGCTCTGTTGCGCTTTCGAGAAAAGCCTATTGGTGTAGTCGCGGACATAGCTGATATGTTTATGCAAGTGAAGGTGCCAGTAGACGATCGAGGAGCATTACGATTTCTGTGGTGGCAAGATGGTTGGCTAGGCGTTGGCCGCGAGGAGTTATTGCGGAATGCGAGCAATCCGCGGACGAACTTGTCAGAACGGTTAAAATAAGAACGAGAAACGGCGAGGTGAAGCGCGATATACGTAAGATATGTCTACTAGAGGGATGTCATTAGTAAGAGAGCCGGGCACGAGGGTTATTCTGTATAACATGATTCATAAAATCCTAGTCGGATTTTGGGGGCCGGTGTAAGATCAATTCTATTCCCATCCTTGAATCAAGTCAACCTGTCCCGGATCAGCCTAGCGTTGTTGCAACCCAATTATCCATGCCTAACGTGTCTATCCCTGCTTGTTTAATGAACTGTGTATATGTGTTTTTACCTCGATCCGTTTAGTCAGACAGTTGAACTCATGGCCCAATCAGAGTATTTTGTGAACTGTTAATTTTGCTGACCCATGTCTAACTTTGTACTATTCTGTCGAGTTTATCTTATTTATTGATTTTCATCTGTATTTTCCTACCTGGTTAAGTAGCCAATTAAATTCTATCTTTGTGCCTATGCTCGGTCTATCTCTCTTAAACGCTCTCTGTTTTATGCCATACCTTACTTGGGTTCATTCTTCTACTGACTGCTTACCTGAACGGTCGTGTCTGGTTCCGGCTAGTTCGCAATTTTGGTTTTAACGTTATTCCGCTCTGATAGCGGTACCTTGCTTTCTGTTAAGCATTGTGCTTTGTACTCTTGAAACCGTTAAGGTTTGTTGTATATATAATTATTGATTTGTTTATTAATAGTACCGTAGAAACAGTGACCGGCTTCTTGTTTGTTCTGGACCGGGATAGCCTTTATCTACGCGTGACTTAATTTCAAGCGATATTGCGCTTACACTCACTCTGACACCAGTCTTTTGTTGTTTGTCATATCAAGTTTCTCCTTCAAATATTCTATTCCTGTCTAATACTATACTATTTGCTTTGCAAATTTTCCAGTGTCAGAGTACTGTTACAAAGAAAAACGCTAGTAAACAAAGGACTAGACGTATGAAACTGGTTAGTGTTCAATTAAAGTATCTAGTACCGTCACATAGGAGATCAATCGCTAACCTGATTAGCTAAGTGGTAGCATCTCTAAATGCAGCACTTAGTGGGTGATACAGGATCTAATCATAGAAGAGACATGAGCTACTTCAAGGTTGCAAATACACCTTACTGGAGTGTCCATGCAACCTAGGTGTAGTTAAGGCTTTCTTTTGGCCACCTCCAAAAATATAATAAAAACAATCCTGAGGGTATCGTGATGGTGAGCTGCCTGACATGATGGTGGCCACATTGCAAACTTGACTGACCGGATTCAGTCTGTGGGAAACGAATGAAATGGACGTATGACACTTGTTAGTGTTTGATCAACGGAAAAAGGCAGCATTTACCTATTTTCTTACTCTACAAAAGACTTCAGGCTTGCGTAGTTTATGTATTAAGGTTCGCTGATTAAGACACTGCAAGTTTCGTTTACAGTCATTGTAGTGACAATAACCTCCTATATCGTTCTTCTGTTAGACTTGAGAACAGTGAACTTCCTCAGTTTAGCGGAATACAAAATCATCTTCCTTGAACTTTATTTAACACAAGTACGGGATAAAAAAGACAGGTACGTTATTTACAAAAGCTTTTTTATTAATGGATATACATCAAAGTTTACATAACTGCTTATAATTTGGTGGGATTTGTTTGCTTGAATAACCCATCTCATCAAGTAAAGTTGTATAATTATGAAAATTTCGAAGGATAGCCTGTGGAATAACGGAATTATTCTTTGTCCATAAATCCAGTGACTTTATATGTATTGGCTTGATAAACTGTACTGTACTCGCCTCCATACTAAACAAAATATACACAAAGTTGAGCTGTAAGTCTGGAGTTATCCAGTGATGTAGTACAACTCACATGTAGATAGTGCACAATATCTGAAACATCTAAACAATGAATCAAAAAGTCCTTTTTCAGCTACAGTTTTCCCATTTTTAATTTTATACACGCAACTGGGAGTTTCATCGTAATGTAGCATGAATAATGTCAGCTTTCCTAAATCCAGCACTATTCTTTACTGGTTGGACTCAAGATCTTTAGGTCATACGTTTTGTATGGATTTGAACTTGTTTCGTCAAGAACGAACATCGAGGAGAACCAGACAACGATTCTGTCTTCATTTAGAGCTCTTCAGCACTCCACATTCACAACCCCAACATGGACTGAACCCGAGGACTTCAGTATATAAGACTGAGCTCGCTGACTACTCATGAATTGTTTAATGATAATAATAATTTGCTTTATTCCAAAACAGTACTTGTGATACAGAGTGGAATTCTCAGCACTTTACTACAGTATTGCCTCCAGTTAGTACATTATCAATAAATAAAATTCTACATAGATTAAGGTAATCTCAGTTCATTATGACAACAAAATGTTTGTATGTCGGTAGCAAAGCTAAAATTGAACAGAGTGTTTAAGGGTGTTAGAAAAGTAGATACTAGCATATTTACTGGCGTAAGGGGTAACAAAAGGTCGAGATATACAGAGTGTGAAAGAACGAAGAAGAATGTTTTAACAGAGTTACTAAGGAAGAAAGAAACAAAGCAGCACATAACAGAAAAAAAGAGAGGGAGAAAAGGAAAAGAAAGAAATAAAACGTTGTACTTATAAATGATACGAGCTGGAAAGACGAGATCCAATTGTTCTGCTGACTATTTAATAAGTTATAGGTTTCAAACTTAATGCTTTCTTTATTGCAAAGAACACGAACGAGCCAAGTAGAGTATGGTTGAGTTTTTGTACTAGCTAGTGCGAGCATATAGTTTTCTATATAGGCTCCTGGTTATGTCTGATGAGATACAACGGGAGAGTTGTGAATGAAAAAAAGTGGTGTGAGTTAGATAAAATGGATTTAGCCCATTTTTCACATGAGTCCATGTGCTTGTCAACCACAATATTAACAAGCTGGTTAAGTGGCTCGTAGCTTACCCTGCTGACAACCTTCAACATCCTGCATAATAAGGTATAGTCTTTCTTCAGTAGCCCAGGAAAAACTAAGGGGAGCAATAGAGAATAATAGGCAGAATATGGGAGTTAACGAATTGTAGCAGTAAGGGTTGGATTATTCCAGAATGTCTTAACTTCTTGATGTAGAAGGTAAGACGGAATATTTTCTTAGTAATCATCAAGATATGAGACGACCAGGAAAGTTCAGCAGATAGAATGACGCCTATTTATTTAATTTCTGACTTGGTTTCAATTTCAGTGCCATTAAGATTGCACACCTCGTGAGTGCTAACCAGTTTGTTTAGGTCAGATTTATGCCTAAAGGTGAAATTAACTGTTTGGCATTTAGAGGGGTTTAAGGCGAGACCGTTTTCCCTGGACCATTGGCTGACTTCTGATAAAAAGCCGTTTAGTTTAGTGCAGTCACTGACATTTGATAGGCAAAGATACAGTTAGGTCATCAGCATATTTGACAAAATTAATGTCTTTCGAAGATGGTAGGTCATGTAGAAAGAAAGTAAAGAGAAGTGGGGAAAGTATAGCACCTTGGGGGACACCAGCTTCAGTGAGCACAGCAAAGGAGGATTTACTTTTGTTTACAGTGTAATGCATTCCGTTAGAGAAGTAGGAATGCAACGAGTTTGTGACCCAGGACTCAGTTTGTGTCATAGAGAGCTTATTTAGCAAGAGACATCTAGGTACGGAGTTGAAAGCAGAAGGGAAGTCGAGAAAAGTGCAGCAGGCGTATTCGGCACCTTTATCTAATGATTAGACGATACTGTTGTGTAAGACGACTGTGGCGTCTAAAGTGCTCCTACCCTGTCTATAGGCAAATTGTTTGGGGTGTGCAAGGTTTTTAAGGGAGGGTTCAAGTTTAAGAAGTACTAGTTTTTCCATAAGCCTTAGAATCGGAGAAGTGATGGCAATGGGTCTGAACTTAACGTTCTTGCTGTTTGCAGGTTTAGGGACAGGAACCATTTTAATGTCTTTCCATGGAACAGGTACAACGTTTTCGGAGAAAGAAGCATTTAGGATGTTAGTTAGTGGGGAACATCAAGCATCTGCACACTGTTTTAGAACATATGCAGGTACTTATCAGGGCCAAGGTCACGTGAGGGCTTAAGCGTTTAACGTCATTTTAGAGCATCGAGAGTATTAAAGTCATGAAAGTTATCAGCTACATGATTATTAACGTTAGAAGCAGTTTTAGTAGAAGGAGAGCGTATAAAAGACTGATTAAGAGCATTGACATAATAAGAGGGAAAAACATTACATCGCTTACTACTGCCAGTAATTTCATTGAAAAGTTTCCACATGCTTATAGGAGATTTGCATGACAAAACTGTATGGTTATACATAGCATTAAGATTTTTGATTTCAGATTTGATTACAGCATTAATCTTAAGCTTCCCTGGTTCCGTCTGTGGTGGAGTTATGGGTGCTCAATGCTAAAGAGGGCCAAACCAAGATAACATAACTGTCTGGCTCCCTCTGTTTTTCAAGGATCTCTTCAACTGATAATGATTCATGATGAAATCTGCATTGAATCTCACCCATACCTTTACAAAAACCCATAATCCAATGAATTAGCGTTCACCTGATAAATAGCTAAAATAATGACAATAGTGATACTACTACATATAATTACTTACGAGCTGATTTTAGAAGTTTTATTCACCAATTTATCATGCTTCAGTAGCGATGGATCCCATTTTAGATGTAGAAATCCTGCGTATAAAAACAGAGATTGTAGCATCTGTGAGAAAAATGCTTTGCGAGTTGACATTAAGAACGTAAATTTGATATGTGCAATATCACAAATCTAGCTGTACATGTGATAACCTTTTCGATTTTTGCTTTCTAAGGAGAACATAGGGATTCAAGCTTTGAGGTTCCCATTATAGTGGTTTTGCTTCTGCCGACAGGGGGAGTGGAGACTGATAATCATGTGCTTGATAGCCATTCATTTTCGAGCCTACTACTGGTTAGTAAACTAGACAGTTTGAGAGTGGGTAGGCTGGGAGCTGAACCTGTACCAAATGCGAGATTGGTGAACATCTTATCACTGATTCGTCGACCTACTTATAAATAAGGATTGCAGTTTCTAAACATTCAGGTGACTTTTCAAACATGTCAAATAAAAATTTAATTATTCTTTCAAAGTTTATTAAACTTCACTTTTAAATCATCCGAAAACTCTTATTGTGCTGACGCCGGTGTTGATAGCTTTTTCGTAGATCGAATTTCGATAACTCGATGAAGGTGGAACCTCTAGTTACCTTCGCTACATGAATTATCCAAAAGGCATTATAACTTCATATTTTGGCTTAGCACAGATGTGGAAGGGTATACAAAAGCCGTATTATCCTATCATCTTTACATATCTTAATCAAACCGAATGAGATATGAAATCCACTGCTAACATCTACTGTGTCAAGCACTTCCCCTCTAAATGGTTGATGTATTAGTGAAATGCTGTTTGGAAGTGAGAATCAATCTAAACATTTACTTATTTAACATCACTCAACTCGGGCAGTGTGGGGAATATTTTCATTAACGTGGCTTAATATTGACCTACTAAGTGGCTGGATGATAGATTAATGTGGGACATATTACAAATTGATACTTCAGAAACAGAAGATAAAGAAGAGAAATAGACTAGAAAATAACGCAGTAAAAATGCAGATATGTGGTTGGATAATACAATGACTGGTTAAAGTTTCATGCCATGTCATCAATAATCTCGAGAACTCCAAAGAGATAACCTCCACTCTGCTAAATGGTTAAGCCCAACAACAAGGAACTTTATATATTTGTGGCATATTTTGATGTGATCCCTTTAATTTTCTCTGTTTTAAGAACCATTTCTCATAGATATAAGTTAGAATGGAGGCAATCACTGTGACAAACACACATATTTTAATAGTGGGCTTGACTTTGATCTCTCTGGTATCAAAATCTATGCACATACACCAAGCATGACTTTTCTGTGCTTGCTGAGACTTCTAGGCAACTCATCTATTTCAGCTGATGCAACCTCCAAAATAGGTGAGATGACTAGCGTGTTCAGCCATTTTATCCCTTTAACAAAGGAGGTAAAATTGCTTGACGCTACATACTACTAACTGTTTCACATTAGTAAATAGATAGTAGTAATGTTTACCAGCCGAATCGTGGTACTGTAAACACCGAACAGTCACTGCATTGATATTCGACAAAATATATTTATGCTAGTCTATAATATGACCATTAATGCACTTAGTAGTGTGTGCTGACGAATTTCCTGCCCATCAAATTCCTGAGCTTACATTTAGCGTGAACAACGACACGATGCAATACCACTGAACCCGAGACGCAAGAAGACACAAATAGAGACCGTTGACCTAAACAACTTTTACTGTCTCTAATCAACAACGAAAAGGGTTGCATTTATATATATATATATATATATATGCTTTAAATGGCATTGAGAGACAATAATTACATTGATAAGTTAAAAGATTCAACAACCAGTAGTGTTCCAGAGTCATGAGCGTGCAGTGGGGAATGCAAACAGCACTCTACTTTAGAGATAAATGCAGTATTTCAAAATAGTAGGTCTATATAACAGTTTTCTTGACTGCCATTAATGATATGAAGAAGATCACATATTATTATCTAAATAATTTTAGTTTCCAAAGAAAGTTGAGGTGAAATTTCATTTCCTCAGGTTGTGTAAAAATTGAAAATGACTAATTAATTAGTAAACCTCGAATTTACTTTGACTTATTATCTGTTTTGCCAAGTAACTAGCGAAAATTCGGGCGATTTGAACTAATTTGATTCTCCGAGTTGAGTTGAATCGAATACAGTACTGATGAGCTTCATCCTTTTGAGATGGAAACAGTTGTCTAGTGTTTAAACCACTTCGATTCTGCTGGCTAGCAAACACTACTGTTTGGTGTGAGTGGTATCCAAGTGCACGTGTCAGTCAATCATTAGTATATAGTATCAAGCACCTATGTTTGCTTTCTTGACTGCTGTTTATGGTGTCAGGCTACCAAACTCTTGTGGTTTGTATAACTTCGGTTTCCACTGCATTCTTTGTTGGAAGACTAGGAGTTGGTAAAAAGCAGTCTTGCAATATAGTCTCACAAGTGACATCGATGTGTTGCATTACAGATATAATTGATAATTGATATAATTGTGTGGTTCGGGTTCCAATCAAGGGCTTGTCTAGTGATATCATTTGATGGTTTCCTCGTAGTATAGCCAATCCATCTCCATTTCTTCCTGCTTATTTTTTGCACAATCGGTTCCTGGTTGGTTTGCGCCAAGACTATCCAGCCTTTCCGTCTACAACAAATTTATTTCTTTGACGCTCAAATAAAAATACTTATTCGAGCATCTCTAGCGAACAACTATAGGCGGCATAACTAAAACTATGATTCAACTTCAGTGTTCATTTTTAAAGTTAACTGTTCATGCGTAGACAGTTACATAGGTAGAAAGACTTGGCAAGCCTGTCATTTCCTTCCGGAGCATTGTACAACATGGCTAGTTAGAGGAGTCATAAAGCCAGTTGGAATTCCCATACTGGCACATTTGGCGGACAAGAAGCACAAGATTGGCGACAGGGTGCCACATTAACTCCCTAGGTTGGTATATCTTCGGTTGCTAAGCCTAACTGAGACAGTCAACGTTAAGATTTTTAAACCTAGTCTGTCTGTTCTCCCTCACTTGATCTTCACCCCAACCCAAAACATTTATCTCTCCCAGTGACACCGGATAACCATAAATATTATATTATTATTTGATTATTATTTGTAATGATAACCATATTACCAATATTATGCTTTGCTGTAGTTGTTCATTTTAATCTCGGTTTCACATTTTATAACTATACTATCTAATCTCTATGTGACAATAGTTATTTTCCTCGCTACCCCTACTAGTATACCCATTCTACCTATTCACTCACCGTTGCCTAGATTATGTAAACACTTGAATGAATTTATCCTTGTTACTTTTATGATCACCTTGATTGTTATCCATTAATTCACATCCCTTTACATCTTATTAACAACATTAATTCAAGTACCTATGACTAATATTTCACCATTGTATAAATGTGATGCCTGTTGAAAATTTATCGAAAATACGTACTTGCTAAAACCGTGTTCAGTGATTCAATTAAGGCCACTATACAGCTGCATAATTTCAAATAAATCGCTTTCCCTCATCTCAGATTTCAGACATATTTTTGAACCTTGACTAGATTTGAACGAGCATTGTCTACTTCTCACTGAGGCAGAAGTTAATTTTTGGGCAAGTATAATACAGTAGTAAACTAGTTGAATGTATCTATGGTATGTGCTGTCCAGCGTTCTACCCATCGTTCTCGGGATGTTACTTGGCTTTCAGTATTCTTGTAAAACATTCTTCTTAACATAGACATTTTCAAACTCGCATCTTTAGTAGACTTGAATATGGAGATAGTAGCACATAATTTCTATGCCTATTTTTATCTTTCTTCTGTGTTGCTTCTCATCATTTGTTAATAGTTAGTAGTGGCTTCAGCTCGTTTACGTGTATAGAGTTTCAACTCTTTAAAATTTTCGTCGTGAGTATGTGAGAAGAAATGAGCTTCGAAAAATAAGGTAGAATTAAGTTAAATCTGGGCATTCATGGGATGGTATAAATAAAGAAATAACTTATTTTACCGTGGTTAAAATTCGAGATTTATCGGTGGTATCATATTGCAAATTACCCCATCATTGTAAAAAGAATACGATAAGTGTGAACTTACTGAGAATTCTTCGTAACTGAACTTCTGGTTCCAATACAAGACATTCATATCGTACAGTTAGACAACGTTTTGCACCAATATATTTACAGTCATCAATCATTTGCCGAGTAATATTCTCCCATAACTTGATAGCTTCCACCGGTTTGTCAGCTGTAAACTGTGAGTCGACTTTTCGACTAAAACATGGTACTGGGGTTAGTTAATACTAATTATCTGAAAGCAAATCATGACTGTTAGTGTATATGTCAAAGTATCACGGTTGCACTATCGAGTTGCATCACTTACTTCCTGTCGATTGGTTGTATAGGGATGATATGTTCAGTGTGTGCTGAATTACTGGCTCCTAGCAAGGAAACTTTATTGATATCTGAAAATTAACATGATGCCATTAGATGGATGGGGAAATTCAGAATGCATTTTTTGTTCTTTTTATGACTTGTCACTTCGATGTGCCTGCAATCCCAAGTTAATCATAACTTTAGGATTCCAGTGGAAAAAGAACCAGTCTATGTGAATTCCTGGTACATGCAGCTGATGAGTCCGAAATAGGATGACATGCATATTCTGTACGGCATCTGAGACTGACAAAACCTATCAGTGGTGTGAAAAGAGATTCCTACCAGCTGACAGATAGATTTGACGTCAGAGGAAAAGAACCGTATTGCGGCAAGGCATAGGAGATACAAAAAGAAGACAAAGGAACACAGTACGAAGAGCAGAAGCAGCACAAGACGGAAGATCTGTACAAATGACCATTTAAATACGTGGTATACATAATCTCATTACATGTGAATATCAAATAAACATTTCGTTTGTTGTCTTCTGGCACCATATCTGGATTTCGCTAATGATCAACACCCACTAAATACAAAAAATGTAAAACGTCTTCTTTTTCTAAGAATACCTTTCAGATACCATCTGCCATTAAAATAAAATCCTGTTTTAAATGTATAATGAAGTTGTACTATTGTGAGTGGATTAAGTAGGTGGGAGTTTTCTTCATTAGAGTGTAGCGGTGGACTTCTCTCAATCACCCTGTACATTTTAACCAACGAAAACCGTTTAATTCAATTAAATACAACTACACAAGTTAATCAGTCAATAAAATACCTTATCTTATGCATATCAACTATTTCTCATATCGGTTATATAAATCATGTTACCACACAGGATTATCAATTTACAACCAACTTGGTTTTTGAAGTACTTCAAAGGCATCATTGATTAAATTCATGAGTTTATTGCGAATAATCATGAGAATTGTTAGTCATTTATCAAACTATTAAAACGATAATTCTCAGGGGCTGAATCTAGACTATCACGAAGAATCAAATTTTCGTAAAAGCATCGGTTATTCACTCTTAGTGTTGTGAGTACTGCCGGTATTAGCTTCAGCTTCTATAGGCTGTTCTACATTTATCTAACAGAAAAATAACAAAACGACAAGAAGACGCATTTCCTCTGAATCGTGTAATGCATTTGCACAACATATTTCGAACAATCTGATCGCAGGTAGACTTCTTACAGGAATATTTATGGTATTAGTGAAGAGTAAAGTGGTGAGAAAATAAATTTAGATCAAGCTAGAAAGACGGTCACAATAACAATGAAGATCACTAAACCAAATAAAACAGGCTATATGTTATCCATCTTGGTATCAAGACAAAGTTATCCAAGGAAAGTTTAGTGTGATGACGAATTGTCTTTGAACGCATAAAGGTGGTTTAAACTTCCTAATTGCCAGGATTACTACATACTACAGGATATGCCCCAAACACGTTTTATTGATATGTTTAAAAGACTTGTAAACATCAATTTTGTCTCCTGTCTCTGTAATATATTTCGCAATGGGTTCCAAAAATTCAATTTGCTCTTGGTGCCATTTATAAATATGCTCTGAAGCCCTTACTTGCAGAGATTGATGAGTCGTCTCTATGTGTGTCCATAAGTACATTCAAATTGAGAAAATAAGTAGGATTTCCTTTCTTCATCACCATATGTGTCATTAGTGCATATTAGTTGGATACTATTGATGAGGCACCTTACTAAGACTCTTTTGTACGGAATAGGGTATAAACTGTGATAATTAAGATACTGTCCTGTCTAGGTAGGTTTTCTATAAATAGATGGTAGAGTATGATGATGAAATGGCAACCATTATTATCCATTGTTAATACGCCTATAGGATGACGAAATAGAATTTCACTACATTTCAATCTATTCTGTACGACGCGTCGCTAATCATGATAACAGTGACAACTTTAATAAGATTCAATAATTTTTTGTTTCAACTTACGTGATAGTTGACAATACTGAAGCTCTGCCATCTCGAATCATATGGATAAATTTAGCTTCGTGGAAAAGGTCACCTAATTCACGTAGATAATAATATATTCCAGGTTGTTTATGGCATAGTCGTTCAGCTGGCGGGCCCATATTCTCAACCACTGAAACTATGAATCCAGCTGTCGCCTCATCGATAACACGTGAAGTAACTCCAGCCGCTTCTAACTTATTCATGTATGCTTTCATTGATTTCCTGAAATTCATTATTTCCCAAGTTATAATAGGTTCAGGACCACATCGTATCAATGGATGAACATCCAAAAGGATACGCATTAGTCCAGTACCTAAATCACCAATCATTCAAGCAGAAGAAGAAAGAGAGTCATTATTCAGACTTAAATCCACTGACACTAGTTGGCAAAGGTAAACTTTCAAGGCTGTTTGATATAGAAATGTTGGATTTTCTTCAAGTCATGATGAAATCTTTCACAGTGAGACGGATTCTTATTATTTTTATTTTATTCCTTTACGTTCCGGGTGGAACATAGGTCTTCAAACTAAAGCTTTTAAGTATAAGTAGCAGCGGTTTTATTTTTGTGGGGTTCAGTCCCCGGTGTCACTGCCAACCTTCCTTCTTCATCAACTTTACTACCGGCTTATCGAGGCCGAAAAGTGCATCGGCTGGCGACTAAGCCTCGGAATATACACGTGGTTAGTAAGCATTCTAAAGCTGAACCACCGATGCAAGTAAGATGGACTGATTTGAATCGAATATGACTAATAGACGACTTCAAGATAATTGTTTTGGAACAGTTTAAAATAAGCAAACACGCCTAACGCTGATTTCTTTATTGGATCATAATTTTCTCTCAACTCAGAGAACCTGGGTGTATCTAACAGGATGGGTAGTGTTAACTCTCAAAATTTATTCTGCCTATCACGTTTTTTTATGAACTATCCACGTTGGTACACCTGAATTTCTCTCCTTGAAGTTCATTTATCTGTCACTGAAAACTCCATTAGTTGAATTGGTTGAACTGATGGAAGGAGTGAAACTGCCGCTAATGTATGAAAATTTATAATATCTCTCTTTTAGATGCCTGACTTTCTTGTTTTGCACTTTAAATATACATAATATTCCTATTGTGACCAGTATATAAATCTGTATTCATATTTTCAAACTTCTTGTGTCAGTTTATCCAACATTCCACTGTATTGACTATAAAGGACACTAAGAATGAATCAAAGTCATCCGTGAAGAAGATTCTTGATTCTCAACATGGAATATCGCATTACTCTTGTTTGAACATTACTGAAGCTGTCTATGATGTGATTTCCTTCGGTCAATCGACAGTTTATCTGAAAGGCTTTCGGTGTCTTTCTAGGAAAACATCTTCAGCACTTACGTCACCAAATCAACCTCATCCAAGGTTACCTCGAGAGACGACTGATAAATTCGTGGAAAAGAATTCTAAATGAGCGTTTTGAGGTGAGCGTTCACGCTCACTTAAAACTGAAGTATGCTCTGAAGTGCTGTTGTCTAAAAAGACAGTGAAAGCTTTGTAAGCAAACCATTCAGCTCAGGAATCACAAGTACATGAATATCATCCTTCAGAGCTTGTGAAAAAATATCCAACTCACAAAACACTTGAATGTAGACGTGACAGTAAGTATAACGAATTAGGCTAAAACGCTTTCTTAGTTATTCCCGTATTGAGGTACACTTTATACATGCGATTCCCTTGAGACCGACTAGGAAAACAGAATATACCTTATTTATGCTGTCAAACTGTGTCACTTAATTTCCTCAACTGTCATCAGCTACATACCACCTAATATTACACTGTTTGTATGAGAACCAAAGAAGCATTCCCCAAGTGTTGGATATCCAGCAAAGAAGAAGTTGTAAGCCTTCGGGGTACAGAATCATTAAACACCAAAATATTTGACTCAAGAAGTCTATAGAGAAGAAGAGGGAAGATAGAAAAAATTGAATTCGGACATTCTGATAAAATGATTGTGTCACCTACGTTGGCAAAGTGAACAAAGAATGCGAACGGTTCAAACCACACGAAGCATCAAAGTGCCCACGCAAGACAGAACTATGTTCCTGGCCACGATTGGACAAACCATGGTCCCGTGTTCATGTTGACTTCGCTGGACCATTCAATAGTATGCATTTCTTAATATGTGTTGACACGTATTCCAAATGGCCAGAGATATTTCCTATGCATTCTGCCACATCAATTGCAACAGTGTCCCACCTACGTCAACTATTCTGTCGTTTTGGTATGCCTGATGTTCCGGTGTCCGATAATGGATCGCAGTTCACCTCATCACTGTTCTCAGATTTCTGCAAACTGTTTGGCATTCAGCATATTCGTAGCCCCCCGTATCATCCCCAATCGAATGGACAGGCTGAACGTTTCATCGACACCTTTAAGCGTGCTTATGCAAAAACGAAAGGGGAGGGAACAACAGAAGAAATTTGGGATACATTCTTGCTGCATTATCGTACGACACCAAATCCTTCCGCCCCAAATCAGTTATCCCCAGTGGAAATTATGTTTGGCCGGAAGATCAGAACTACCCTCGACTCAATTAAGCCTAGGCAAGTAAAGCAGGACTGCAGAAGTAAAAAAATGGAAAGCCAATTCAATCGCCATCACAGAGCTAAACGTCGAGTTTTCAAATTGTATCAGCAAGTTTATGTACGAGATTTTCGCTATTCACCTCCGAGATGGATTCGAGGACAAATAGTGGGGCAGAAAGGAAGGGTTTTATACAAAGTGAATGTAGAAAGACAGTTATGTGTCAGACACACGAATCATATACGAGATGCGTCAGATAGACCCGACAATGGGAGACGAGACCTCACGTTAAAAGTATTAGTAGATACATTTAATCTTCCGCAGCCGGAAGCCCGAGACACAGATCACACTCTATCCAGTACCACATGAAGGTCAACTCGACAAAGAAGAGCTCCGAAACCTTTCTCAAATAGATCCAAAAAGCAAGTCCTACACGTTTTACGGGGAGAGGTGATAGGATCCCACGCACTTTGTTACTGAACAATTATTTCAACTGTTAATCTCGCATAAATGGTATATCATCATTTCCCACGCACTTTGTCACTGATTATTACGATCAATTATTTCAAATGCTGTTAGCTGTCTGTATTGTTGTAAAAATGTATAGATACCATGTGTTGTTTTCCAAAATAAGTTCTTTGTCGTAGTTGTTGTACTACAATATACAGTCACAGGCCAGCCTTTGTCTTTTGATATTTGCGTGGTTCATTGAATCGGAAGGTACCACAAGCAGATAGGCATATTAGTCAGGCGCAGACAGAACAAGGCGACAACGTCCTCATCTAATTCCCCACAGTCATAACAAATAGTTAAATTTATTTGACTTAATACACAGTGATACAGTATACATAAATGAATGGCGATGCTTCGAGAACAATTTACTGTTCATAATGATATCGATGTATTCGCACGATTTCTCATTTTGCCTTATATAGTTTCACTCACACCTATTATTTATTGCTATCTACCATATATGAGGAACAGATGCGGCGTTATTCTGATCGCACGTGATTGGTGTTGATCAAATGAATATAGATTCGGGGACTTACTAATCTTTCCACCTAAGTTCACTACTTTATAATATTTTTACTGTACTTCTACCTGATGTGTGATTACGTGCAAATGGATGCAGTGCTTTGGCTGAGCTTTTTTCTAAATATTTTACCTTAGCAGATTTAAGCATTCGAGATTTCTCTGAATTCCAACAGTCTAAATGACATCGATCGAGTAGTCTGACCAATACAACAGACGTCACGGTCATTACACATTATCTATCAGATCCTTAAATGGGCAACGAACTGATTTGGAGATAAACTGTGTTATGACCATGAGGTTAAATTCATATCTCAAAGTCAGTTAGATTGTCACAATATAGGGATTTAGAGATCTTTGGATTGATTGACCTCATCATTTTAAATTATGTAAAAAATAGTTCAGTCAGTACACTGTATTCACTTTCGTGCAATCACACTATAGGATGAATTATTAAGTAGTAATAGAGTTCAGTGGAGATGGAGAGGCTTACCACCAAAGTATTAAATGTATGCAACAGGAATGAGGCAACACCGATCCCGGATACATGATGGATTACATTAAGACACAATATTGAAACTCCATGGAGTAAGCCAGGAAGATGTGTGAATACATATCGATATGGTTATGAGCAACAAATTTTACCCGAAATACAATCCAGATATCAAATAAACTTATTCGATATGAAAGATATGAAAACCACAACTAGTCCTTAATTGATATAAGGATAACACTTGAGCAGTGTGTTAGAGTATAATTCCATTATCGATAAAATTTTGTTTAGTAGTATCCAAATTCCTATTTACGCATTTAGCAAACACAACAGATTGAGCGAAGTAATGTATTCCTTTTCAATTACTTCCTCTTCATAGGCTCTGTACTAATATATAATATTTTACAACAAAATGTTTCAACCAATCAAGTGTTTACTTTAGTTAATCAGTTTTAGGCATAGGCGGGATTGAATCAAGAGTTTGAAGGTCACCAAAACAAATAACTATTGAATGTTAGTAACAAGATATCTAAGTTTTAAAAGATTTTCATTTTGATAAAGTCACACAGTATTGTTATGCAGTGTTATTTACTAATTATCACGTCTCGAAAACAATCTATTACAGCTTAAAGTCATATCAAGGCAAACCCATATAACTTTCCTGCTTCGTTTATGTACATGAGTACAAAGTGACCAGACATTTGAAAATAAACCAATATAAGACTTGCATCAAACAGAGAGGAAGATAAAGTAAATTAGCAACCACTGTTAGTGTTATCAATAAATGTTATATTCTTTTCTTAAGTATTTACAAAATGTTCCATATCTTGAAAATATCTGGTGATTACACTTCAAGAAGTGAATTTGTGCTTCTCATTAGGTATAAATCTCCAGGTAAACACTCAGATAATCGAATGAAAGCTCTTCTGTCATTCTCTTGAATGACGTTTCTCAAGCATAAAAACAGAACTAAATATTTATGTAAATACCTGGGGTTCTAGTGCGAAGTCGTGACCAGTAGGGTGCGGAAGGTTGGGTGTGAGGACAAATACTCGCCGAAGACATTGGCTAGGGGTCGCGCTATTTCGTCAATTGGCAGAAGTTAGAATTCAAGGGCTATTGGATCGGGTACCAGTGACTTAATGGTATTCGAGCTCGCCTTGTAACCAGAAGGTCCTGGGTTCGAACACCATGGGTGCGTACTGATGAAGAGCCTCAAACCAGACTGACGAAACGGCTGTCCTGTACTCCCAGGCTTCCCAACGGTTCTCTAACTAATGTCAGCTCATGATAAAATCCTGTAATCAATCAAATCCCTACAAACCAACGCTTAAATACCGACTTTATTTCACACTCACCTGAATCTCCATTGATCACAGTGTATAAATTTACACAAACTAAAACATCCTAATGAGTTTATATTTCCCATCATTAGATAAATTTCGTTTCATCAAAGACTGAGTCACAGGCTGAAGTGAGTGGAATATCATTGAAAGGCAAGGAGCACTGGACAGATGTTGCATCCTGTCACGGGATACCTCAACAATGCGAACTCTCATCGCCACCAAGAATTAAACCTAAAAACTTCAGATTACCGAATCAAGCTCTTCGATCATTCAACCAACTGACCCATGAATTCTCACTTTGTCATTTCGTGATATGTTACCACCCTCAACAAATATCTTTGATGAGCATCTGCTCAATCTTGGACTGTTGGCCTCCACTGGCCATGACTTCTCACTACAGCTTTAGCACATACACCTATTATTAATCACTGAGTTGGAGATCGATATTCAGATTCTGCGTTATCGTGAGGATTGACATTAATTTCACCGGGGATTTTTACTGAGATCTCCAACTTGATATTGGCTCGTAACGATATTGAAATTTAATCCAAACCTGCACAAAAACGCACCACCTAACATTCTGTTTGTTTGTTTGGGAATAATCACATACGTGTCTAGTTGTTAGTTGTTGTGTTTTGTTGACAAGTGTTCACACTGTTTATAAATGTTATATAGTTACCTCACATTAATTGATATAATGTGAAAAGAATATAACGATTAAAAAGAGAACAATTAACTTAAATCTAAGGACATGACATTGACCGCAAAGGTAAGTTTCCTATATCTATAGGTCCACGATCTTAATCGAATCTTTCAGTGCAAATATGTGGTTAAAAGTACGCTTACTTTAAGACATAGACTGAGCATGCATAGCTATACAAAGCGTATTCAAAGTAGAACATACATATTTAAGCATATCAGATACCTTGAATCTTTAAAAAGTGCTACATCAATCATTTTATAGCGAATCATGTGAGATAACCAGGTTCACTGCATTCTAATATCAAACTTTATCAATAGTCTTAACTTAGTGAAATCATGTCTGTGAAAAATCTGCATATTGTGGTGTAAACCAATTAATCATACGTTTTTCAAGTGTTTAATTGCAGGGATTTTATGGTTACATGTTAGAACACAAATCAACATCGTTTAGGGAGACGTTGAAAACTAAGGAGAGCGGACAGCTATTTTCGTCTTATTTAGGACTCTTCAAAAGCAGGTGCTCATAAGAGAACTGCTAGTCAGAGCTAGGAATATAGACATTCTTATCGGTTTCCAACGGTTGCCATACTTCTTGACCTGAATGCGGAATTCTACTTCATCCACTGAGGTGTGATGTGGCAGTGTTCGGCCATGAAAGAAGTGGTTAGAAATATTTTTGCAATAATTAAGGCTTATCACTCAAATATGCACACATGTGACAGCTTACGGAGATTCTTAATCTGAAGTGATGTCATCCAATGGTATAAATCAAGGTTGCTGACCGTCCGTACTTCGTTCAATTTCACTAGAGATAAACAAGGAAACGGTCTTGTGCACTTACATCTTACGGATGATATTATCCTCCTAAACTAAGATGATGACAAATGCAGTCTTCTGTTCACCAGGAGCGGTAGTTTCTAAACGCTCAGCATATGTTTCGCTGCTGTCAAACGTCAGAAGATTCTTCAGGACTGGAGCCGGCTATCGGCAAAGGGATGTGTCTACTACTCATTATTTCTCTCTGTCCATCCTAAGGGTTATAAAACATGTTCACTGAAAGTTGAAACTATGAACATGCTAGCTGCTTTGAAACACAGATGTTTGCGTTCTATCTCCCGTGGGAAGTAGCATAAAATGATGAATAACACTGAGGTTAGGTGTCGAGTGTTGGCTCAAGAGAGTAATTCTTTCAATTAAATTGTGAAGTCATATAGCCTTGGATGAAGCTTTCCTCGTCGAAGAATGTTATTCCGTGTAGGATTAAGATCGAAAAGAGTTAAAGTTGGTTAAACCGAAATCTGGCATGAATCTATGAAGTCCTTGACGGTTAACTTGAGACAGCCAAATAGGGATACATAGGTATGCATAGGACAAGTGGCTGAAGGCTGTCAGTGATATGGTTTATAATCATTTTCAGTGGTGCAGAGGCCTTTATTTTTTGTGAACTCTCAAATCCATTAAACCCTTATTCTTTACCGTATTATTATTTTTTTCTCTCGTACATTTCTGCTCACTAAAGCTGTTTCGAATCTCTGTTAGCTCTTTTTCTCCCTACCTTTGCGTACCAGCCAACGTCAGTCAATATCACCGATGAGTATTTCACTCCGAAACCAACTGGTGAAATACACTGTCCACGAATTATCACTAAAACGGGATGGTCGACGGGCTCCCCTTAAAATGTGAAGATCCTGGAGTCAAGGGTGTTTACTTTTATAGAGTCCTAGGCTAGAATGAAACATCTGTCCAGGACTCCATTGTTTTCAGTAATTTTAAATACTGTCAGCCCATTGCCAAACTTACAACTTACCATAAGTGTGGTAGTAATTTCTCTGGAAATATTACCAAAATTAGAACTTCCCACTACCCGTATAAACCGTTTCTAATGCGCTTTTATCAGACTAAGTTGATAACTGATATTAGGCCCTCCTAAGTTTGATGCAAATGTCAACTCCATGTGGTAAGAAAAATACGAGTTATCGATCTACTCGCTTCATAAAACAAAATACGCGATCAAAGTATAGATACGTAGTGAAATCTGCCATGTTCTGTAGTGCAGGCAATTTAATGAATTGATATTCTCAGTTTTGAATACAGTGGGTAATGCCAACCTTAATAAAATAAATGTGCAGTAGCATTTCGATATATGTATATACGCAACGAATTGGCAGAAGTTGGAATTCATGGACTATCAATTAGATAGGATTCCAGTGGTTCAATGGCCTGTGAAATTAACTTGAAAACTGAAGATTTCAGGATTGAACTCCTTCGGGCGCGTATTACTGGAGAGTCTCAAACTAGAACGAAACGTCTGCTCAAAACATTCTGGTTTTCAATGGTTCTCCAACTGACATATACATTAAAACACACAGATGAAAACGTCATACCTACCTGTACTTTGATGTCCACCAATAAAAATTATTGAAGCGTTTCTAGGCTGTTCATGATTTAACACCAGTCTTTGTGAGTTGATAGTCCATGATTCCCATTTCTGAAGACTTAATATATTCGAGTAATACTGTTTGAATGTTTTGATCGCTGCTACACAGACCAGAACTAATAAACACCACGTTAACCGTTTTAGAGGGAGACTTGCTGTAAATAAATTCAAAAGAAATGGTTAAATTAATTACGTTAAACGGCTATAAAAATGTCATCATGATAAGGAGTCCTTTTTGGACATAATAGATAATGACCTCCTTGGGAAGACGTAATGAATTGGACGCCCAGACTACGGTCAGATTTGTTTCTGGAACAGTAAGCAGGGCCATCAACGAAACTACAGTAATACAGACAGATAACAATATTAGGATCCCTTAACCAACTGTATGATGAGTACCCAATAAATTGCGTAACAAGGTGATGAATTCAGCTCAAATCTTGGAAAAAATAGATAGATAAATTACTTCATAGGGAAGTGGGAAAGGAGTTAAAGCAAAGACGATGTAGTCAAATGAAGAAGAGAGTGAAGACATCCGGTTACCAAATCGAGGAATGACTGATAAATGCTTCTTTCTGAATACATGGATTTGGTTACTGGCGTTTGATAGCGACTGCTGATTTGGCGAAGTTGAAGAGAATGGAAATGTACTGTCTGTGGATGACTTAGAAAAATCTCAGAATGTCCATTCCATCATCTGAGTCAGTAAGATGAAAGTGTCTGTTCCCCTAAGACGTAGGCTTATAGATATATGCTCATAAAATTGAAGGTGTACCTTTCTTTTTGTATGCCCTGTGTAACGGATACTGAAGATATACGTAAATCTGTATACACAATTACAGTTAACTGAAAAAAGGCATCTTCAAGCATTTATTTGTGGTGATTTGATTTGTTCCAAGTTTTATCAAGGATTGATGGCAGTTAGAGAACCACTGAAAACCAGAGAATACTCGACAGCTGTTTCGGCCTAGTTTGGGACTCATCAGTAGTAAGTGCTCACCGTACTAATCAGTTTACAATGCTTCGCTAACTGATATGACCCCGTAGTCAAAATGAAAACCAATCAAATCCCCACAAACAAACCCTAAAAAATCAATACAATGAGTGAGAAAACGTCACAACTGGGGTTCACCCAGTCATGAGTGAGGACAAATACTTGACAGCACTGATATTGGTAGGTGTCAGTCAAGCTGAGGTCACAAAGTGGAGGAAGTAATAATTCATGGGTTGGTCATTCAATAGGGTCCCAGCAGTTGAATGGTCAACCAGCTTGACTTGTAAGCGAAGGGTCCTGGGTTCAAACCTTGGTGGTGAGTGCCTACTTCTGATGAATCCCAAGCTAGGACGAAACACCTCTGCAATACCTCTTCCCTTTTCCAATGGTCCCCTAGTCCATATCAATCAATGACCAAACTAGTGAGGTATCTTTCGACCAGTGACTGGACCAGATAATATGTTGTACAGTAAACAGGATGCAACTCAGCTTTAGGACAGATTCTGGCCTGTGAGGTATTCAGTATTCTGTTGACTATTTCGGTAATGTTATCATCATCTAAAATCATGTTGTTTGAAATCAGTGTCAAAATAAATTGAAATCTATTTGTATTCATCGCTCAATTTTGTTTATTACACATATTTTCGATACATATATCGTTACTCACTTCACCCTTTCAAAGTCCACACTTTAACAGTGAAATGTTCATTCGTTTTGAGTAACTTTTTCTAACACTTCAGGTGTTTGACCTCAATAAAGCCTATTTTATCTGTGTTTTGCAAAAAACTGGTGTTTGCTTGACCTATGTACGGATGACTAATGACAATGAGAGCCATTCCTTCCCACCAGTCAATTGTTTGAGTACAAAAGCTTCTATTATCGTTTTCATTAGTACACGACAAAGCTTCAGAAAGAAGTAGAATATTGGGGAATGTTTACCACAGATATCTGAATAACTTATCCTGACCTGAAATGTTGTTGTTTCACTAGGTTACATTGTTACTTACTGAATAATTTGTCCATATTCCTATAATTATTCAACGTTGTCCTTAAAATTATCCAATCGATTTTGTTGTTTCATGTTTAAACAACTTCCTTTCTGATCATCACCATTTCTACTTAACTTTGTCTCTGTTTAGTATTATAAGTGTGGAATTCAGGTACTTTGGTGGAATATAATTCCGTATTAGATCAGTTTATTTAATGTAACACACAGTGATAGAGTGTGTTTATTGCTCATAATCATATGAATATAATCACACAATCTGATAACTTCCTTTTGTATTGTCTTACCTACTCTCTGATACCATTCTTATTCCAGTTTTCCAAATATCCTAGACAAGTGTCGTGTAATTTTGATTGCATGTATTTCGTGTTGATTCAATGAACGAAGATTCATTGACTAATCTGCTCTCTCTCTACCTACCTACCTAACTTTTCTTCACCCTAGCCCAGCTAATTTTGCGATCACATGCAAGTAAGTGTAAATCAGTGGCATCACTCTCTTCTATATTATTTAGCTAGGCAAGGTATATCATTCTATCTCTAGCTAAATTCCTAAGTCTTAGTTATCTACTTGGCCTCAAAATACTAGTATGATTGATGTAATATTGACGTCATATCTGTTACATAGTACTCGGAAAATTATAATATTTTCTCTAGTCGGATCTATCGGATGCTTTAGCTGACAAAGTTTGTCTCTGAATGAGTAGGTTGATTTAAATACTGCCCTAATTAAGAATCCTGCAGAGGACTATTGCTGCTCTTTCTTCATATAGCAGTACTGCCATTATTCGATGGTTGGAGTCAGTTGTCAGGAAGCCTTACCTGCATCTAGATTTTGTGCTTCTTGGTACTCAGTAGTCACCTAGGTATATCTGCAATCTGGAAGGAACTCACATCTCTTCTGAGATCCGCACCCATGTCACCCAGTAAAGACATAGTTCAGACTGCAGAAAAAGCGGACTCAGCGCATAACATTAGTTAATGTCCAATCAAAGAATTCAATACAGTCCTACAGGGGGTGAATCGTGAGCCCGAACAGTCCAGTGATAACAACCCTGACTGCACTAGTGGGTAACACCTGGTCGAATCTCAGGAGAGACATGAGTTCCTTCTTTCTTTCAACTTACTGACGAGTTCATGAAACCTAGGTGCAGCCAAGGCTTCCTACCGGTTGCTTCGAACCATCTGATAACAACAACTGACGGTGCACCATGACGTCTCACAACCTAGAATGGTGTCCACATTGCAAACATGACTGATATAATCCAGTTTGCACCAAACAAAGGACTAGATGCATAATACTGGTTAGAAAGTAGAATCCAATCAGAATATAACAGTACTACCAAGGCTTTGAATTCCATGCTATTTCCATTACTATTCTTATTCTCCATATGGGTGTCTTCATACATTTTTGAATAAAATCTGGTGGAGAGTTATTCACTATAGTTTTCTTGACTGATACTGATGGATTCAATATTTGTTATTTCTCACTGAATTGTCTTCCAATATGCATAGCTATTAATAATTACAACACATGCTGCATACTTCTGACTAGTAAATTTCAATAAATGTATAATAATAGTGGGAATAGAAAGTGAAACTTTGCTCAATAAATTGCTTGATGAGTTCAATGAATTTTATAACAAGTTTTCACTATAAAACTGACAGTTTTATAATTTATATCATATGATAACTATATAAAAATGTGTCGATTAAACTGAATACGTTTCTTTTATATATGCAAAGGAATAATCCGAGTAGAAAGCAGTTAGCTGTAAATTACAGGATACAGTATTATTTACTTCAGCTTGCTTTCATAATTGATACTCATGATATTACAAGTAAATCATCTATTGTGCTCTAGGCAGCCACCAACTTCTAAAGAAAACTAAGGGTGGAATTTCACCTCCTCGATGTGTGTAAAATTTAAACTGTGAAACACTTTGCAAATTGCAAAGTTGATTCACCCTAAAAAATCTCCAAGCGGAAATCAACAAGGTAGCAGAAGAGGTACTGAAGACAGGAATTCAGGTGAATATAGAGAAGACAAGGGAGATAAAGATATCTAACCAACGAGAACAAACACCAACAACGCAAGAGATCTAAACAAGATCACCGCTTCCACTTATCTAGACAGCATCGTTTCAGCAATACTTGGCATGGATGAGGCTGTCAGAGTCAGCCAGGATCGGAAAAGCAAGATGGTCATTCATTTCTCTGAAATCTATCTGGAATGCCACTGCACTCCGTGCAAAGAATGAGATTCATATTTTCAACACTAACGTTAAAGGAGCCGTTGCTTGTATATGCTCCAGAGACTTGGCTGACGCTTTACGAAAAGCATTTCCAACAGTCCTTTTCAGACTTTCATCAGCAGTCACACCAGTGTTTCTACAGTTGAGATTGGATGGACAGGCGCAGAGGGTAAGCAGTAAGGAGTTCAGGCAGCCAACCAACTGCTGGTCAGCAAATATGCAGAATGAATTGGAATTGATTCGATATATACCATAGAAACCTTTAAGACACATCGTACGCCAAGCAGACCCTCGACTGTAACCCAAATGGGAAAAGACACGTATGGCGTCCAAGGGAAAAAATAAACTGTGTAAGGAAGAAATCTGAGCTTAAATGAAACAATGGAGTCATCTAAAAAAGACTACGGAAAACAAAGTGGAATGAAGAAGTATTATTGAAGCTCCATGTTCCTTTCGGAGCCCAGTGGGATAATATTATTAATATAGTAGTAGCGATCCCACTTCTATTTGCGGAAATTATGTCTTCTGTATTATGCTTAGGTACTAACAAACTCAAGGTAATTCACTCAAATATATGGCAGATATATTGTTTGGAAATTACATTTTCAAGCACACTGACATTTTCCGGTGAATTCATTTTAGGAATTTAGTCTGTTTCACATTGGATCACGTACTGATATCAGTTAGGAAGGGAATGTATGCTATATTTCATGTGTATAGAAATGCTGTTAAGAATTACAGGTGAATAGTTAAAATCTATTACACTACCCTTCAAACACAATCCAGATACTGTTTGGTAAAGCTAGCGTTAAATCTATAGTTTATCTATAGTCAGTCAAATTCATTTCAGTCACACGATAAATGATGTTCGTGTGGTAACTTTTCAAGTGATGTGGAGCCATTTTTCAATACTTCTTAGAGGTTAGATTGTGTTTTGCTTTTGGATACATCCATATACCCATGTTCCAAGTTACCGACAACCCGGTTCAGGGTGCAGTGAGAAACGAATAAAACAATTCCAACAGTGGTGTGAACACGGGCAGTAATTTTGCTCGAAATATTACCAATAACAAAACTTATCATTGTGCGTAAACTATCAAAATATAATTATACTTTATTGGATAAAATCCCGCTCTCGATCTCATTTCCATAAACTAATTCAGTGGTAATAATTCCACCAACCATCCACTTGGTTCACGGTACGATTCCCGGCTTACGGACTCCTAGTTTTCTAGCTGTTGGTTAACCTGGAGAAAAGGGAAATTTAGGTGTGAAGCAAGCAACCCCACTCAGTTAAAACAAAATGAACGTGCAACGATGAAACCTCACATCCCTCCTTGAAAACCAGAGGAATGGAAAACATCTCCAGGCAGCTTTTGATAACCTCGTTAGATAATCAGTCTCTCAAATATAACTATGCAATTAGAAACATAGTCACTCAGATAACATATATCCTTAGAATTTACCAGCACATCAAGTAATAATCAATTCGTCCTATTTCATAAGACTACTGCGTACTAGAATCCGACTCCAATCAGTTCGCCGTACTGTACATCTAACCCTTCATCTTCTCTCATACATCAAACACCGTGTATAAATAAGGACTGGCAATGTTATTTCAAAACACAAGAGTGAAAACTTGGGAAACTGTGTTATCAGTAGAATTGAACTTCTGAAGTAGACGATGGTCAACCAGCAGTACTTAACCACCCAATGTATATCAGAAACAATTGAAAACAAATGTTCAATAACACTATGATAAGTATTCACTAGGTATGAATGAAATCGGTTGCTGTGAAAGTCTAATACAGGTACGTGAACTATTTTTAGAGGCGTCTGGTTAAAGTCAATAGTGGGCCACTACAAGACTAGATAAAGCGAGAACACCATCGAAATGAACCAAATTTGATGCTTATCAGAAATATGACTGACAGTAAGATTACTCGTCATTATTAGTTATCCACAGTCTTAGGTCTCTTAATCAAGTGAACTAACACAAGAAATTTGGAAAAACAAGCACACAAGTATACTTAATTATAACAGCATTAACCAAATGACTTACAAAAGAAACTTTGTGTAAACACTGTTTAAAAGAGTTCAACACAACACAGCATTCCAGTACTAAGGAGAACTGGAGAGAAATGCATACTGTCTTCAGAAAGAGTAAATACCCTTGCAATTTCATCAAAAAGTACTTAAGCTCAAGTCATGATATCAACAAGAAACCATTTTGATGTGGTTTTGTTCTCTGAGCTGGATGGTTAGTTTGCGAAGCTTTCATCACCCTAATAGGCGACATCTTCAGCGCATACTTCAATTTGAAGTGAGCTTTTAGATTTCTCCACGAGTTTATTAATCATCTCTCCTGGTGACCTTGAACGTGATTGATTGTTTTTGTGTGTTTTCATACCTTCTAGGTTACTTGTATTGGAACTGATTGTTTCTTTGACTTGAACGTTGACCCTTTGTGTGTAAAGTTTATTTCTTATCGGTGGATAAATTTTGTCTATCTCGATGTGTCTGTTGACTGATGATTCACTGGAATGCCAAGCTTCTAAAAATTCTCTAGCATTCTTGTTGTTTCCTCTGTCTAATATCTCAATGTAGGTTGTCCTAGTCGAATTGATGTCCGTGGTTGCCTGTGTGTAGTGATATGAGGGAGTGGATATTCAAGATAGCAAGGATTCATTGCAGCACTCCCATCTTAAGGAAGATTGAAGAAAAAGATCTCATGAACGTCTTCCAAAAGAATGGATATCCACTTAACTTCATGAAAAGACATATACCCCCAAGCCAACCTATCAAACCAAAAGCACCCAAGGAGAGCACAAAGAAAATCACCCTACCATATATAAAGGATGCCTCAGAAATCACTACAAGACTCTTCAAACCTTCAGGAATTGACGTCGTACACAAACCGACAAAGGCACTTCACTCAATTCTATGTCAACCAAAAGACTCAACAGAAAACGAAGATAAAACCAACATCATCTACAAAATAAATTGTAACAACTACGAAAAACACTGCATTGGTCAAAGTGGATGTCCCCTTTGTCTTCGTATCCACGAACATAAACTAGCCGTCAAAAGACATGATATCCACTCCCTCATATCACTACACACAGGCAACCACGGACATCAATTCGACTAGGACAACCTACATTGAGATATTAGACAGAGGAAACAACAAGAATGCTAGAGAATTTTTAGAAGCTTGGCATTCCAGTGAATCATCAGTCAACAGACACATCGAGATAGACAAAATTTATCCACCGATAAGAAATAAACTTTACACACAAAGGGTCAACGTTCAAGTCAAAGAAACAATCAGTTCCAATACAAGTAACCTAGAAGGTATGAAAACACACAAAAACAATCAATCACGTTCAAGGTCACCAGGAGAGATGATTAATAAACTCGTGGAGAAATCTAAAAGCTCACTTCAAATTGAAGTATGCGCTGAAGATGTCGCCTATTAGGGTGATGAAAGCTTCGCAAACTAACCATCCAGCTCAGAGAACAAAACCACATCAAAATCATCCACCTGAGCTACAAATCTTCTCTATAATACAAGAAACCATCCTTGAAGACAACAAGAAAATTTATCATATCATATATGAAGAATATCTCTGAAACAGCTATAATACTAAGACCATTTGAAACAGATATAGCAGACAAGCCAAAGCAATCGCTGCATTCACAATATTATGCAGACCAAAGGGTCCAAGAGCAAAAGAAAATAAGGTCAATAGCACTTACAAAATAAACTGTATGAACTGCGACCAACCCTACATTGGTCTAAGTTGTAGTCCACTTCGAATCAGATTTCAGGAACCTGAATTAGCTGTAAAATTACGTGATATGTATTCTTTCAAATAGATGCATGTGGACAATTATGGATACCAGTTTGATTGGGGAGAGGGTGAGTATGCAGAAATCTTAAAGAGAGGAAACATTAAAAACGCCAGGGAATTTCTACAAGTCTGGTACTCAGATGAATCAGAGATTAACAGACACACTACTTACCACAAATGTAATTCACTGACTAATAAAGAATAAACAAAATTACAATAAAGTTCAAATCTCAAGTCAATAAAGGTGTAAATAATTAAACAAACACGACAAACGTTGTCAGGGGATGCAGTTATACGAGTCACGAAGTCGAATTAGGACAGATTCACTTTGAGTCAAAGCTTACTCTGAAGATGTTGTCAAGAAAGACAATGAAAGCTTCGCAGTTAAATCAACCAGCTCAGAGGAAGCAACCTATTCAAAGTTATCCATCTGAACTACAAATCTCCTCTATTATTTCAGATTCTTTCTTACCTTCCTGACTGTTACTTATAAAGACACACACAGGTTAAAAACATCCCATCACCATATTATTCATACAATTGTGTTTTATGTTATTATTGCGATTTGAAATTGAGTTGCGTAGAAAGTAGATCAGCATTTACACGAACGCACATTAAATGCTTACAGACGACAGTTTGGAGACTACTTCAGTCAATGCATTTGTCGTAAGATTCATCTTTTCGTCACAAAGAGAATTGATGTATGACAAATGAAATCATTCATATTACATAATATTTCACAATAGGATAATTGACAGTAATCAAATAAAGGAATGACATTTTACTAAGTGAAAAACACATAAATATTGATGTTAATGTTTCTGTTTGTTTTGGTTACAAATTCAAAATATCCATGAAATTACCACTTATCCGTTTTATCATTTCTGCTTCTGTCAAATATTATAAAGCTAGAGTTCGTGAAAGTACTAGATATTTATTCCTGAATATATATATATATATATATATATATATATATATATATATATATATATCATCGAACTATCAACCAATAAGATGACATTTGAATGAATCTCGAGGATATAATTGGTTGACGTTAAAAAATGACAAGGTTATAGTTGTAATATAAAAAATAGTACTTTAAGCAATAATGATGACTTTTTCGCTTTGCCTTAGCTACCGTACATATTCTAGTCAATTTCAAAATCAAGAATAAAAATAATCTTGTTTAACTCGTCAACAGCAATAAACTTCTTGTTCAACAGAACTTTGTAAAAGGTATTAAGCATCAGATAAACTTTAGAGGTAAACAGACACTTGAAACAGATCTAACATTAGTACTATATAAAACGATTAGTTCTCTTGATAAATTTAAACAAAGCAATAAGAAGGCTGTGGTGATTGACAATTTCTATCTCTGTATTGTTTAAATACTTACTGTTGACTGTTGATATGTTTCTTATATGAATTGCATTCTAATTCCGCTAAATACAAATTCCTGATTGCTGCCCTCTCTGGGTTTTGTTTGGATTCTTATAATTCCGTCATCTCGAAAATCTAATACTTCAAGTACAATAAATTACTACAAAGGCGTAGTTTTTTTGAATTGTGTAATATATTTGCGCAGTACATTTCGAACTATCTTTTCATTCGCAGACTTGTCATAGGAATATATATATATATATATATATGCTGAAAACCCATATCTCTACATTAGTCAGTAAGAAGTTCTTCGCTGTGAAATACAAATGACGTTCACCAGTTGTAGTTGTTCTCCACCTCCGTAAAAGATAAACTCCCTCGTTTGACCACCTTCATGTGCATAAATCAGTTCATCTGCTCCTCTTGTGGAGGAAGGTACCTTGACCGTGGCCAGAAAACACTTCCCAAACGGATACGAGGATACATTCGAGCATGGTTTTACAAGCCAGAAGCGAACACGTGACCAACTCCTGTCAACAGTAACCATGATTTAAAAATCATCTATCGAATCCATGCTAACTTTCCCAGTTTTCTTTGTTATAAACTTACAAAGGCAGTGGATGTCTTGGTTATTCATGACTTTAAGCCACAACTTTGCGTACAAAAGTAGTATGTACAATCTCTACTTCTACCTTTGCTGTAGATGGATGGAAATTCACTTATTTATTTTGTTTATTCAGTCAATCTATTTATCTTCCCTTCGTTATTACGACTTTTATTATTCTCACTTTGAATTGTTTCCACTTGTCTCACTTGTCATTCTAAATCCAGAAATTTCTTGCAATGTTGAATTCTATCTTTTCAAACTCCACATCATGATATTTAACGTTTTGAATAACCTACTAACCCTTTTATTATACATCCCTTTCCAAAACCTATAAATAAAATGATTTATTCCATATATGACATGAATTATTTTTCAACTTTGACTAAGGATTGTTATCAGTTAGGGAACTATTGAAAATCAGGGAGAAGTCAACATCTGTTTCATCCCAGTTTGGGAATCATCGGCGGTATGCAAACACATATGTTCGAAACGAAGACCTTCCGATTGTAAGGCAAGATCGTATAGCATTTTCCGCCGATGACATTGGTTAGGATTCGCGCTAAATGCATCACGAATTGATAGAAATCAGAATGAATGGGCTATCCAATGAATCGGGCCCCAATGGCTGAATTGTATACGAGCTTACCTTGAAACTGTAAGATCTTGGTTTCGAACACAAGTGAGTTCGTACTGCCTATGATTCGCAAACTAGGATGAAATAGCTGTTGAGTACATACTGATTTTCAAAGGCTCTCTAACTGATAGCAATCCCTAGTCAAACCCGTAAGAAAATATCTAATCACTAAAAATCAAATGTTTCATATGCATTTGATATGATTATTACTTTGTGGATTCACACTTATGATTCAATTCCTAAGCCGGATATAATTTCTTAAAAACCGTATATATGTCCAATCGTACAGCTTGATAATAAACTCGTTGAAAACAGTCTCTTCACTGAATATTTTGTTCTTAAAGTTATAACAAGAGTTCTTTGTTACATACTCTTTCTGATTGGCTATCTAATTTTCAATAAAGAGCAATAGGGTGCAACTGTTGAAAGTCTCTGAACTATAGAGAAGCAATGTTTGACTCTACTTCAGTGTTGAAAATTTGGATCTTGTTCCTTATACTAACTGCAGTAGATTTTCGGAGTTACTTTAGAGTGGTGAAGGTTTGTTTATCTTGCTTTCTCTGTCCTTCATTTGACCTCTTTATCTGTACTACCTACCTCTAGTTGTAACGGTGCTGTCTAGATACATGAAAAGGATGGTTTTTTCTTTAAATTTCTCCCCTTATTGGTGACTGTCGCATGTTGTTGTAGATATGATAGAGAAGATTTGTAGCTCAGGCGGATGATTTTAATGTGGTTGTGTTTTCTGAGCTGGATGGTTAATTTGCGAAGCTTTCATCGCTCTACTAGACGACATCTTCAGCCCATATTTCAATTTGAAGTGAGTTACAATACAAGTAACCTAGAAGGTGTGAAAACACACAAAAAGAACCAATCACGTCCAAGGTCACCAGGAGAGATGATTAAGAAAATCGTGGAGAAATCTAAAAGCTCACTTCAAATTGAAGTATGCGCTGAAGATGTCGCCTATTAGGGTGATGAAAGCTTCGTTAATTAACCATCCACCTCACAGAACATGTTGTTGGCAAGTTATCTTCATTATCCACCAAGACCACAAAGAGGCGCAATCGGCTTACTTCCATAATCAAGCAACCCCCTGAGGACTTGTTTCACTACTTCAACTGAATCGTCATTCAGAGTCATTTACAAGTTAAAAGAAAGCCAACAAAGACTGAATGCTGCCTACAACTTTGACGGACACACTTCCTGTCTATAAGTGTCAAGTTTTTCGAATCCCTTTACCTACTAGAAACTTGACCTCTTCTAATCTTCACTTACAAAATATCACATCATTAAGTTTCCTTGCATATTGTGACTGCATCTCACTTTTAAACCATTTAGTTTACACATTGCACAAACGTATACGTAGATCAGTGTAAACTTAGTTTCCGTGTATTTTGTACATTCTTACATTTTGTCAAAACAATATAGTCCCCATTCGATCTCACCTCTGTCACTATGGCTAGTTAAACTGTACTTGTAAGTATACCAAGTTGTTGGAGGAGAATATATAAAAATTCAGGCGGGCTATCCTCATTTATTGAACATTAAACTGGACAGATAGTGTACCTCTACTCCACTGAATGCCCCTCTTACTGCATTTTTTAGATGCTTTGTTATTATTTCAATGATATCAATATCAAGAAACTTCAGTTTAATGATCACGGACTTCTTTGGAGCTGTTGCCATCGTTGTAGAATAATTCCCCATAAAAGACTATTTCACATCATGGAAAATACCCTTTCTTAAATGCGCTTTTATTTCAGATTGTTCCTAAAAGACTTTTATGTTTCATTGATATTTTTGTTACTTTAAATGTCTCTGACATTGTAAAGAACGAGGCAGGTCATTTCCAGAATTATTACTGGGCCCGTCAGTTGTGTGTTTTATTACAAGTCAGACGAATGCTTCAGTGTTTACTTACTCAAATGAGGAAATATTGTCTTCATACTTTAGGTTTATTTTGCACCAATAACGTTCACAATTTCAAAAATCACCCGGTGTTTACTGTAAGGTAATTTAACATAAAGTAAGGACACATAAATAACATGCAAACAATAAGAACTTTGAGAATAATCATGTCAGTCAAAGAGATTTTCGTTACCTCAGTAACTAAGTTATATAACCTTTGACTGCAGTAATCAATAGTACAAGTTTGAATCTTCAACGGGATGCATATTTCTTTATTGACGCACATACTAGAAAACTAATGTCAACAAGCGTGAAATCTAAGTTTCTGCAGAAATTTCATTCTAATAAATTTGTCAGAATAACTCAGAGGAATCCTTATATGAGTTAGTATAAATAATAATAATTTGTTTTTTACTTTATTCCAAAAACAGTACTTATAATACAGAATGGAATTCTCAGCATAAATCACAATATTGCATCTGACTTACTTAAGATATAAATAAAATTAAAAATTAAAGCAAAAGTAACCACAGAAATTTGTCCACGCTTACGATATAAAGTCAAAAATATTCTAAGCACAAATTGAGGTCATTAAATATTAATAATAACAGTAATAACAATGAGTTTGTTTCAAACAGTATTGTTGATTCAGTTTGAAAATTTTAGCATTTTACTATAGAGTATTGAATCTAATGTTCTGTTGATGTAGTATAGTGAGGGGAAATACAAGATTAACAGTGGTAACACAGCTTAAACGATGTTCACACTTATGAAAAATAAATAAATAAACACAAAAAGCTGAGAGGATTATAAATATAAGAAATACAATAACAATAAAGTTCGGTACCGTAAGGGTGGAAGAAATGGTTTATTTAGTAGTGCAAAGAAGGTTAGTTAGTTCATGCCTAACATTATTTTCATCACATAAAGTACGTGCTAAATATGGTATAGTGTAATTTTTATACTTAGAAGTACGTGCGTAAATTCTTCTAAATAGACTTCTTGTTTTACCTGAGGAGACACAAGGTTAGAGCTGCGGGTAGAGTGGGTGCTCAGAGTCTGACAAAATTCCTTTAGCGAATTTATTGCATGACATCAAGTGCCTTTCAGTGACAATGTCAACGATATGGTCCAATGGGATACCACTCGTCCTACTGACAGTTTTCGGAGTTGTACAAAGTATGACATAGTCTTTTTTAAGCAATCCAGGAAAAAATAAGGGTGAACAGTAAAATACGCGAGTTGACAAACTGTAAGAGGAGGGGTTGGGTTATGCCTGAGTGCCTCAACTTCCTAATATAAAAGGTCAGACGAAATATTCTTTAAGAAATCTCTAAGATATGGGAAGACTAGTATAGGTCAGAAGGAAGA